GCTCTGCATCTCTCTTCTCTTTCTTTTGCTTCTTTCGTTCAAGCTGAAAAACAATAAAATATTTGGTACATATTAAAGTTGTCAACACCAATATGAATAATAACAATATATTTATTTGCAAACAGCTAATAGTGTAAATACTTACAAATTTAGCATTTCGGTTTCTATAAGTATTATCAGGATAGAATTCTTCAAGTGTAGGCTTCCACTTGTAGTAGAACTCAACACATTGGCCGAATGATTTAGTTGTAATCTGTAATTTAGAATATGTAAGTCAGAAAATTATTATATGAGATATAACATATTTAAAAAAATATAAAATAACAAGAATTGGTTTAACTTACCCATTCAGATATTTTGAAAAAGTTTTTTTCAAACTTCCACATAGCCTCTTCAAATAGTCTGACTTCCCATTTGAACCATGATTTACCATCAACTAAAAAATGGGAATAAAGAAATGTTAATTCTCCCATAAAGTGAATGACAATTATGAAAATAGTATGTGAAGACGGGAATAGAAATATAATAATTCAAAATCAAAACATACCTTGAATCTGAGTATCATAATCATCAAGATTCTCATGTGAATTTGTTTCATTCTTTAATAACAATTCATGTGGTGCTGCTGATGATGATGTTTTAATATATTCATGTATAGAAAATACATCATCTACAAAGAAATAGAAAATTATTATCTATACAACTTTAGGTGGTTGTAACTGGTAATTTTTTTAACTCTTCTAATTTAAAAGTGTTATACTTACATTTATTACTGTTGGATTCCTCAATCTGTGGCCATACCAACTCACCATCAATGTTAGACTCGTTTCTATCGTTTGCTTTCTCTTCCTTGGTTACTAAATATTAAAAATACAGAGATTACAATTATGGTATTAGTAAAGTTTAAAACATGTTATCACTGGCATGATAATATTGTAATGTTTAATCACTTACACAAGTTAGGAATTTCAGCTGTGTTGTCAAGATAACTGATATTTTGAATATAGCCAGGCTTGTCAAATATATACCCATCATCTTCATCACTTTCTGAATCAGTATCATCAGAATGACTGCAATAAAATGGAAAGAATGGATTGTATACAAACAGTTAGACAAACACACGTTTCACCATTGCTTCTCATTGACAACTAGTTTATTGTCATTAAAACTACAATACTATTAAATTTATATATATATTAACATTATATTATAAAACTAAATAAAATCTACTAAGTGATTACATAATAAAGCATACAATAGAAGTATATGCCCTATACTAACACTTTGTTCTTCCATGATGACCTGACTGCCCTAAGCCTGTATCTATAAGATGATGATGCTTTACCTAAACCTAAAAATAATAAATAATCTAAATTCTTAAAAATCATACCAAAATATAACAAATAAAAAATTCAAAATAAAAAATTCAAAATAAAAATTATCACATAAATCGAAGGAAAAATGACTACGTAAACATAAAATGGAATTAAAATGTGGAGTAGAATTTCAAAATTAGTGATGACTTGCCTGTATTGGCACATGTGCCAGGTTTTACTTTGTAAGATTCATTCTTTAGGTGCTTTACTGATGATTTAGCATCCACTCGCTCAGAATCAGATTTTCTTGATTTTTGCTTCTGAGTCTTCGCCTTCACCTTCTTTGATTCTATGATGTCAGCCTTGTTATGATTCTTGTGAATCTTTTGGTGACCACAACAGGCTCTCAGAGTTAGAAAACTTCTATCACAATACTTACACACAAATAATGCCTTCTCTTTGGGTAGATCTGTGTTTTTCTCTTCTATTTTCATGTTTTCATTGTTTTCAGAGACTGCAGAAGCTACTTCACTAAGAAGAAGTAATGATTTTGTCTCAAAGGTACTGGGCACTGCAGTAGTAGAACTTGCGTGACTAGATTCCATATTTTGTTGTAACAGGTTTGCCCTCATGTTAGGTCTCATTCCAACATCAATATTACCATCTTGTGCAAAAGCAATGAAAGGTTGTTGATTGTCAACAAAGCCCATCTTAGAGTCACTGAGGGTATGATCAGCAATATAGTTCTCTGTTGAAGTGGTCACACTTACATTTGATGGAATTGCTGACATTGTGTTTGTCACTTGTGTATCATTGTCCGTTGCAGTAGTACTTGTCTGACTGGATGGTCTACTAGCAATTGGAGTTATCATACTTGCCCGGGAACAAACGTGATCAGTGACAAGAAAAACATTATTTATCTCTGACATGTCAGTTTTCATATCCTGCTTCAAAGCAGGTGGACAGGTTTTCACAACTGTTTTTTCAAATTGTCCGACTGTGAGTAAGAGTAAACCAATAGTTGCTTTCTGGGGAAGAGTTGTTTCATGCACTGATTTGCTGAATGCAATCACAGATTAAACTGTTGATGAAATATCAGTGACAGTGTCAACCACACCTACGTGTGTATTCATAGGTTTGCCACTACTGTGGGTGAATTCAGTCTTGGAGACCACCTGTAAAAATATGAATAAGATAATATCAAATACCATCTTCATGTTTAAATTATTTAAGTCAACAACAGATACTTTGGAAAATACTTGACATTAATGTATCTTACCCGTTGTATGTCCGAAGACACTGGTAGATTAGCCCTGCGTACAGTGCTGTGTGCACGGGGACGCGTTCGGTTGATAGATGTCCCCACCACAGCCCTACGTACCTCCATAGACAAAGTCCGGGAGCGCACCGTAATTGGTGCGCAAGTTGAAAATAAGTAGTTTCCCAGCCGAAATCTGTTGAAATGACGATAGTTATCCGTAACAACCATCACAAAGTTATCTGAAACTGAAATGTCTTTAAAAAGTGACTAG